TCTCTGATTAACTTAAATTTTTTTAATAATTATATATGCAATACCAGACGGTGACGAAGATTTCATGTCTCTAACTCCACCCCATATTCAAAATAAAAACACTTCAACTAATAAGAGAGGACCTTCACTAAAACAAGATATGGGCTACACTTCCAGTCATCATTGGGGTAATTCTTCCAGGTAATGTCTCTTTCGATCTTGTGTAAGTGTCAGTCATGTTTTAATATATTTTATGTACATGGATGTGAATACTATATTGTAAAAAGATTGTTAAGCTTATATGATTAAAAAAATGGGTATATGTACACAAGTAGCAGAGAGAATGTATCTCTGGAAGAAAAAATTAGCTCAATCCCTATAACTAATCCTCAAAATTAGCTAATGCAGCAAATCAGTATATATTTAGTAATTTATAAGACTCTGAATCAATCAAAGTAATATGTGAATGATACTTTGGTACAATACTACAGTATCACGCAACTTCTTTGAACTTACATAGTGAAATTTTCTGAAACTAGAAGCTTTTAAAAGTAAAGTGCAAATAAATTATAAACAACCCTCATTCACTTTTCTGTGACTTCTCATATACGATCAACATTCTCTACTTTTTTAACAATATATTCCTTGGATGCCTTTTATTTTTATGCTGTCTTAATTTCTAAGTCCTTATAATTGCACATCTTAATGGTTGAACCTGTTCAATAAAAGTATCCAATTTGATATGGGGGCTTCTCACTGTTCAATTTAGGTTTTGTTTAGAGCCATACTTTTAGGATTAATTCCATTGAACAAAAAACTTTAAAAATTGTGCTAGATAATATATTTTTTGTTTAAAAAAATTTAAACTATAAATATAAATATTGTAAGTCTATATTGACAATGTAATGCAATATAAGTATAGTGCAATGATAGTATCCATCTTACCTACAAAAGAGAAAGTGTATATCTTTGTTTATATTATATCAATAGAACTTCATTCTTAGTATAATACATTATATTAATTACTGTAGAACCACAGTACCTAATAATGGAGACAAACTGAAATCCTAATCATGAACATATAACATCTTTTAATCGTGTTGTCAAAGATTAATATTTTAATACTTCCACTTTTGCATTATTTATCTAACTCAAATATTCTTCAGTTACTAGTACTATAAAAGGAGGAAAATCTAGGTGAAAATACCTACTAGGGTTAAGAAGCAGAACAAGAACATATAATTTCTACCCGAAAAGGGAAAAGTGAGTAAATAATTCCTAGTATGTAATTGATGGTTAACAAAATCTTTTTTTTTTTTACATTAATCATTAATGTGTTTTATTTTATTTTATATTTTTCTAGTCTCTTGTATATATTGACCTTTAAGTCTTGGGCTAAAAATCTTTCATTAAATTCTCAATAAAGTTGCTAAATATTAAGTTTGAATATCATGTTAAATTTTATGAACAAGTCTAATTCAAATCATTCAGTATACATAGAGCTAGCTAATTTATTTTTTTTGTGTGTGAAACTAGACTTAATATTACTAAGTTATCAAAATATCTAATAAAATTTTCAACTATTACACTTCTTACCTATATTCTATTTACTTCATTTATTTTCAAAGAACCTTACAACTTTTAATTTTTCAAGAGATATGTTAAAAAAAAAATTTCCACTCATTTATATTTATATTTATTTTTTATCACATTATATATCACATTTTTTTCCTTTTTACATTTTTCTTTCACCCCAATGGTATGCACATCGTAAAAGGGTTCCCAATAGTTTACGTAATTGCATATGATGCTTGCAATAAACTCACAGGTTCCAATAGTTTACTGGTGTATTTGGTAAATTCTAGACTATGACTTTCCTTATTAGATATATTATTAAAAACATTATATATATATATATAATAAAGCTATTAATTGAGAACCACCCTATACAAATCCATAATTACAAGAGACAAAAATGATTTAAAAATAAATTATCTAAAACTTTAGTTCAAATTATATATGTAAAGAATGGAATATAATTTATTGGCTTTAGGAGGTCTTGATTATTTATTATGAAATTGATAGTATTTTCATCTAACAGAATTTATTTGTTCCATGAAAGTAAGTTAGTCAGGGTCCGCTCTTTTTGTTTAATAAATGTTAATTAAAAGGTATGTTTAAAAAATTAGAATAATTATTATATATGTAAATATTTTGAAAAAATATTAACAAAATCTATTTTGATTATTTTTTTAATTTACTAAAAATATGGATTTGAAAAATTAAATTATAAAAAAGCTCAATCGTAGAATCAATTTAAAAAAAGAAGAAGAAAAAAAACACACCTTAAGAATTTGAGAGGAGTCTTTTTATAGGAAATGGCAATAGTAAATAAACAAGTAGATGTTCCGAATTCCTTAAATAAGACCTTATAGCATAGAACTAAACAAATTTTAAATTGACTTTATAACATAGGTTTGAGTTTTTGTTGCTTCAAAATGAGATAATTTTTATATATTTGTCTTCTCATATATGTAATCAAGTGGTTAATTTTTTTTAACGCATTTCTCACATATGCAGTAAAAGATCAAGGATACAAGCTAGTTTTAGAGATCAGGATGGTTTTAGACCAGAAGAAACCATGTCATCTCAGCTCAGAATTGGAAAACTTTCTGAGGTTGTGACCTACTTATCCCTGCTCTACGACAATACCTAATTTCTTCCGAAAGAACATGCCATCAACAATGATATATAGAAACCTTCAACATATAAATTTTTCCTTTGTAAAATATATATTCACACTAAATTTATTTTCTGCTTGAAAGTAACAGTGGTGTGATTCCTGAGTTGTATGAAAAATGCTTACTTTTGTGCAGGAAAGCCAACCCATATGCTTCATTGTGGATCAAAATTTACACACTGAGATTCCGAGCTTGGAGTTTACCTTAGGGAGATAAATTGTCGCCTTAGAGAGAGAGAGAGAGAGAGAGAGAGAGTGAGAGGTACGTAACGCTTTTGTAAAGACAAGACAAGACCGTGTGTTTTCTCATGTCTAAAGAATGTATGTATGAACTATGAATTCCTCATTCAGCTGGTAAATAGTTAGATCTCTTGGATATGTGTTTATCAATGCAAAAAAGATTATGAAAAGAGATAATACTTATTCAGTGTTCTCGATCTCTGCCTAAAAAGAATTAATCTCGATCCTATATATAAAGAAATCTCTGCATATTCTATTTTGGGATAAAGCTTCACGTATTTTTTAGAACATAAATGCATGTCATAGTAACCGTAAAAGCTGAAGAAACTACCAAAAAAGAGGAAAGTAAAAGCTGAAGAAAAGAAGGATTATCTTGCAGACTCTGTCCATATATACTTTTTCGCGGCTTATCTTGATTCTTGAGTAATTAGAGCGTGAAAGCAGGGATGGGTGTGACTCAGCCAAGATTACCTTCAAGATTTCTTTCACATACAAAACCACGTCTTTTTGGTATTTATTATTCATGCAAAATTATTTGTGCTTAAAAATTAGACTATTTCCATGTTGCTATACCATGATTAGAATGTTAATTTGTGTTTGTGGGTTGCATTATGCCCCCACTTTTATGACCACCTTTTAGCTCGATGCATTATCTAACATAATTACTGGCTCGCAGTTGTATCCTTAAAGCATATTCAAAGGCTGCAAGTAACCTTAAAACAAAATTGAAAATTACATTACAATACATATCAAAAATTACTAGCTTGATCTGCAAGCTATAATTCTGTCAGCAAATTGAGAACTTCACAAATTCTCCAAGGCCATTTATACGTTCATTGAATTATTTATATACATGTATATAAAATATAATGCATATATACTATACATTCCTCATTTGTTTTGACACTAGTGTAATTTTGATTCTATAGAATGAGTGACAATAAACAATAATGTACCGGTATAAATGCTTGAGTTCTCCAGACATTTATAATATCCACAGTACTGTTTTGAAGGATAAAGCACACAAAGTGATGATTCATTTTGTTGAGAAATACAGCAAAGCCAGAATACAGAGAAATTTAAAAGAAATTGAAATAATCATAAAATATATTATTTATACAAGTGAAGATTATATAATTAGTCTAATATATCTTGTATATATAGAAGGAATTAATTAAAAACTAACTATGACTACTTGTAATTAATTTTTGAACGAATTATAACTTCCTAAACAAATCTCTATCTTCCTAATTAATTTTTAACTTATCTAATATCACCTCGATAAAATACTTTCACGTGCCGTTTTGAGGAATACATTTAATATTGTATATTTTCATTTTTCTTTTACACTTAATTTTTTATGTTTCTAGAATAAGGTTATATTGTAACTCCAAAAAATAAAGTGAAAATTATGATATTATTAAATCAGTGTTCAACAATGATTATAAATAAATAAGTATTATATTTAGTCAATCTGGTTAGTTTCACTTGTTATTCAAACATGCGTGAGCTTAAATTAGATTTTGAAAAATAAATTTAGTGAACACGATTTTATAAAATTAATTTTAATCAAAAGAATGTTTGAGTGAATTAAATTTTTTTTTAACATCTGCACAACAAAGAATTTTGACATAATTAATGTTATTTGGATATAATTGGTAAAAATTAACTTTAATTGTATAATTATTAATCGATATTAGCATGTAAATATTGTCATGTAAAGTCTTTCTTAAATGTAACATTTTAGCATAATGATATAAGAAGCTCCATAATTGACGTGAATGACAGGGAGATCCTTACATTGAGGAGAGAGAAAGGATAGTGGTGGAGAAAAAAGCAGAGAGAGTGGATGCTGTGAGAAGAATGCCGAAAAGAAAGGGCCTTGGCAATGGCAATGTTATCGTCTCTCACACAATCCATCCCTCCCCGGACACCAAAAACCAAGGTCATGTCTTCCTCTTAATCGTTTCATGATCATTTGAATTATGCTAAACTGGACTGATGTTGAGTCTAAGAATAGTAAATAAGGTGACTAGTGTATAAGGGGTGACGTTGGTTTAGGTGGACGTGTACATATTACTTACAAATAGTTTACACTGTCAACATACAAACTATTGGTACCTTTCGTATTCAACATCATGGAGTGAATTTATTACACACAAAAACATAATAATTGAACATTTTAACTACTGGTTGGGACCTAAAAGGGACAGACTATAATTTACACTGTCAACACACAAACTATTGGAACCTTTCGTATGTTCAACATCATGGAGTGAATTTATTCCACACAAAAACATAATTGAACATTTTGACTACTGGTTGGGACCTAAAAGTGACAGAAGAAAAGCTCTATAGTGGCCGGATGTTTCTGAGTGAACTGCATCGTTAAGTGTCTTCTTGTATTTCTTCAAATATTCGGCTTTGATATACTGCAAATCAATCTCAGCCCTTGTTACAATCACCCTAATAAGCTTCGTGTCATCAGTTCCCAAACCTTTCATTGCCTTGCGCAAGACCTGCACAGTGCCAAAGGTGAAAACGTATCTCCATGCTTGGCAGTACGAAATTTTAAAAGGCCCACTTCATGCATATAGAACCAACTACCACAAAATCAGCACTAGATATTAGCTTTTTGACCATTGGAAGTTGAAAAAGACGGAGAGAATGGAGCACATTACTACAACCAATCACTGAGGCAAACACTATTAGGGTAATGGCAATATATGCAAACAATGACTGAAAGATACACCTGTTCAAGTGACCCCTGCTCCTATAAAATGGCCTCCGAAAAATAAATGTCACAATTTCTTGCATATCAGAAAGTGTAGATACTGATTCACAGAATTGCTGAAATTCAGGTCACCCAAAAGCTTAATATGGGCATCTCAGCGGATACTTTTAGTTGCTCTTGTATATGAAAAATATACAGATAATTAAAAAAGAAAAGAGAAAGAAGAATGTTTTAATTAATCAGGCTAAATGGGGTTAGGATCATCTGCAGTGTATAGATCACTGCTACAGATTCCATATATATATATTGAGGTTTGATAATATAAACCCACCTATTTTTTTCAGAGAGTATTTTAGCAACCTACACCTTAGGTATATTTTAAGAAATCAAAGTTATAACTTGCTAACATACTCCTCCTAAAAAATAAGTAGGCGTATGTTAGCAACAATGAGTGCTAATATACATCCACTTTTTCATTAGTTGGAGTAATTATAGATTTCTAAAATACTCCTTCTAAATATAAGTAGGTACGTATTAGCAAATCCATTAGATATAACCAACCTAATTCAATGTCAATGTCAACCTTCTGATCAAATATCAAACACTTTCCTCTGCAGTGATTTTTACACTGAGGATCCTAACCTTGATAAAAGTATATACTCCATACAGATACATACTAAATGATTAACATATATCAGGTTTCTAATATTTTCAACCATATAATTCATTTGTTTCAAGAACTCGGAACTCAGCGTTGATGCCAGTAACAGTTCAGTGGAAAAAATATAAGTCACGAGAAATTTCCAGAATGTTGTGGTGCACATATAATTCATACAAAAAGGCTGAGGAAAATTTAGACACAATTTCAAATGAAAGGTTTTTGGTTTGTGTAAGATAGAACTGGTTAAGAATATCCTACAGAAGTTTCTGAGAAACCCAATCGTTGCTTACCTAATAATTATAAGCATACAGCTGCTTTAGAGAAAATATTATTAAACATTTTAACAGTAAGTGTAACATAACCATCATATCTTGCACCACTTATCTCTCAATTCTTAGTCATCCTTGTTCTTACAAATTACAATAAGTGTTGCCATCGAATGCAAACATTGTGGCCTCCATTCAAGTTTAATGACATTACAAGAAGCAATTACCCAAAATTGAAGTCAAGGGAAATACCTTTGAGAAATATCTGGCAGGATTCTCAGCACATTGGACTATTGTCAAAAGTGCATGAGCAAAATTTCCTGATGCTTCCTTCTTTACAGCCTGATACAAATTCAAATTAGATAAGCACCAGAAAAAGACCTGAGGAGAGACTATGTTCAAAGGAAATAAAAGTGATAAAGATACCTTTTTCAATGAGTGTCCATACATGTCATGGTAATAAGAACTTACAGCAGCCAAATGTGCTGAACTCCGTTCACTAAATATTTGCACAAAAGTCTTCTCATCAGTTCCCAGTCTCTTCTCTCCTGCTTTGTAGAGAACTTTTGCATCCTGCTGAGCCATCTCTCGATGGACCTCTGGGCCTTCAGGACGTGGTGTGCTTACATATGCAAGCAAAATCTGAATCAAAGTCACATTAATGTCTTAGTAACACTTCATTCTTCGAACATCTTGGAAGAAATTTTTACTGAACAAAGTTTCCCTCAAGAGACATATGAAGTGACACACATGCACATTCAAATAAATGTAAAAAAACATAAAATTAGTCCACATTCAACCCATAGTTGACTTGTGATTGAAATTTTACAACAGCCAACAGGCATTCAATCTTTTGTATGGATCAAAAAATCATTTTCTTGGCCTTGAGGCTATATTCTTGAAAGGAGTAACTAGAGGCCTTTGCCTCAAGTGACTTGATAGAAGCCATTCAGGTATTCAGCTATAAGTTTCTGAGAAAAACATGGAGACCACAAACAGTTGCTTTAATGGAAATATCCACCATTGATCACAATAGAACTATTCAGGAAGCAGCACCCCAAAGATTTTAGAAATATACACATATGCCATTGACAAACATCTGGAGTCCTATTATACTTTTATTTTTTTTCAGTATCTTGGATACTTCAACAAATAAACAATAGAAAGTGCCTAATTGATGTCACCTCTATGACAGGTATGGATAAAACTTTCAACTAACAAATAGAAACCTTAATGTGACTGATTCCTGATAGCAACGATGTCTTTCATGAAAGCTAAACACAGATAAGGACGGACAAAGAGAAGATTCACCTTTTTATGATCCCCGGAGGTGTTCCTTTCAATGTCATGCTCAAGGAAAACACCAAATTTAGAATGGTATATCTGTCTTAAATATTGTAGCTGGGATGGAGTTCGTGAACATATTACTTCAGTAGCAGCTTCAAGATTTTTGGCCACAGTTAGAGACTGCCTAAGGATTATCGCATCACGTCCAGCAGGGTCATGTATCCAAAGCAGAACTGCATTCTAATAAACAGAAAAATACAAGCCAAACCAAACCAAGTATAAATTGTTAGGAAATGAAGTATTGCCACTTCACTTGTATAAATTCTGAAGTACGCAACATATAATTTGGTCAATAAACAGAGAAAGGCATGATTAGTCTGTCATAAAAAACGATTTACAATGATAATGATCAACCAGTATATAATTCATCGAGTACAACTCATAACAAAAAACTTAATTGTGTAAAATTAAGTACCTCCAACTTGCCAGAAAGCTCCGAAGATAAGCGTTTGAGAAGGTCCCCAGAATACATAGCTCTGTATTCTTGTTGGATGTAGGCACGCTGTGTAGCATCTCGATGAGCAAGTATATTGATGACAACACTAGTATCACACCCAAATCCTGTAAAAGCATTGATTGAGTTAAGACAAAGAATGGTTCAGGGGATTAAGTAAAAGGGCCATCTCATTAAGGTAAAACAGGTCTTAGAAGATCATCAATAGACCGATCAACGGCAATCTCTACATGAGATGAACGCATAGGACAATTTCCAATTTTGTCAAACTTAAAAAAAAATAAAAAAAATAAAAAAAATTAAAGTATGCTTTCAAAAAGGAAAAAATCTACGAAATGATTTGGGTATATATACCACCATCAATTGCATGTTGACTATGTTAATGATAAAATTGTCCCATCCCATGAGACATGCCTTGAATATTATTGATCCACAAAGTTCCTAAATTAGCATTTAACACCAAGAGACAGAAAGAGAGGGTACCCTTGAAAGCAGTGTAAAGTTGTATGGCGTCGTCTCGGGGGGGAGGAGGAAAAGGGGGTACAATGAGGGTAGCCATCTACGTCCCCGTGTCCAAATTCAGGGTTTTTTTGTTTGTTCTGTTCTGGAACTATACTTAGAATGCAGAGAAAGGGTGATCTAAAATGTTTGAACCAGAAAGAAAATGATGACTGAATCTGAAACAAAAGAAAGAGGATCGGTTCACCCAATTCCATTTAATAATACAGAGTTACGACGTGTCGTAGCGTTCACAGCGGCCTGCGTTGATTTGGTCTCAACATTGCTTGTATATGATAATATATATCCTTGTCATCAAGTTAAAAATATATTAGAAATTATAAACTATGTTGTGTAGGCTTAAACTTGTAGGCTAGAGAAAATCAATATAAGTCCTAGTGATGCAGAAAACGATGATGCAAAGAATAAAATAATGGAGTCAAATAACAAGTTTTCGTAGATATACTTGAATCATTAGTTAATATTATAATCGATCTAAACCTTAAGTAGAAGATTAATTTTGATATAATATTAGATGAAATAATTTATATTATTTTTAAAACAATTACTATAAAATAAAATTTCTTTTAATAATATAATAATTTATCATTCATTAGTAATACAGAAATGAAGGCAATGATTTCAGGGCTTACTAGCATAAATCGGGTCAAAAGTGAGTTGTCGGTTTTTTTCTTTATGAATTTAATTTTGATTGGTCCAATATTTTGCAAAAATGTGGATTAAAGAATATCTTGGATATATTTAAACATGTGATTTAATCAATTACTTATTTAATAATTTTTTACATGAAAGTTTACTTTTACATTATAAGTTTGATGATAACATTTATTAAAAGAAATTAAAAGTTATTTTAACAATTTACATTAATAAAATTATTAAAATAGGATAAAAAGAATTTATAAAATTCATCAATTGTTTTTATAAGTTATCTATATACTATTAAAGTCTTTTATAATTTTTTAAATCTTATATCATATGTTATGAAAAGCTCTTATATTATGAACTTGGTTTAGTTTATCGTCATAATTATGCGTGTGTTTGAATCTAAAATTTACTTAAATATTATTTAATAATTTTAAAATAATATTTTTATTATAAATTTAATGATAAATTTTATTAAAATAAATTTAAATAACTTATGTAAATTATAAGCTATTTTATGAATTTTTTAAAACAGGTTTTGTAGCAAAAATGTGTTAAAACTTCTCTTTTATGATATTACAATGTTTACATGTCCATTTAGGTACAAACAAAGTCGTATTTCTTATGTTACATTAAATTATATATTTAATTATTTCAAATTTTAAAAAATTAATGTTAAATAGTTTTACTTTCATTTTAATTCTTTAATGTGTGGAATGTTAACACAAAATTAAAAAATGTCATTAGTAATAGATAAAAGAATCCACCAGAATGTTAAAATTTGTTATAAATCATTTATTGCTAAGAGAATCTGGAACTATATATATGCATGTATTCGCTTTATTTGATTTAAAAGTTAAGGAAGGTTAGTCGCATATTTTTAAATTTAAGATAATATATTATAAAGTATATTGGGTCTTAAAAGTTTATCCAAAGAACAGGAACAGCTTCCACGTGTGAGGTGGATATTAATTTCCTGATATATTACAGTGCCAACCAAAACCACTAGTTTGCTTGGTTTGATATGCAATCACGTTTCTGGCCGAGAAAAAAATTTAATAGTATTTTATTAATTTTATTTTAAACATTGAGCATAAAATTCAATTAGAGAAGGTAATAAAGGAGGAAAAAAAATGAAAAAAAATCCTTATTTATGAATTTTTTATTTTCCTTTCAAAATTTTTCTTTTTTTTGTTATTTTAAAAATTTTATACAAATGAACATTTAAAAATTTTGCCTGTCCTTATTATTTTTATAATTTGTCTAATATCACACATAATTAAAATCTGTATATAACATATTTTTATTAAAAATTGTAAATTTAACAATATTTATGCATTCAATTGTATTATTTTATGTAATTTTTAATAAAATTTATTATAAAAATATTGTATAAAATTATTTTTAACTAACTATAAATATTCATTGTTAATTTTGTGATGTTAAAAGATAATAAAATAATTGTAATGCTACGTTTAGATAAAAATAAAATAAAAATACAGAAAATAAATAAATAAAAAAGATAAAAATTTGTTATTTGAATCGATAAAAATAAGTTATGACATACTTTGAGTGAATAAGAAAGAGGATAAAAAATTAAAGTAAAAATTATTTTTATACTAAATAATAAATTTTTATTTTAATAAAAAAGTTGCAAAGTTTTTCATTTTATAAGAAATAAATAATAAATTTGATTTAAATTTTTTTTAATTATATAAAATAATTTTTCTTATATTTTTTTTTTCACTTAATTATTTGTTAAAAAATAAACAAAGCATTAGAGTGCGTTGGACCACCGCGGGGAACATGTCCTTGGAACAGTGATTTGGATGACATGGTCAATGTTATGCTTTAACAGTTGAGAATTTCTTTTAGCTGTTTAAAGCAACACAGCACTGACGAACAAATCAGTGGTCATAAATAATCAGAATCATTCCTTTGCATAGTTCTTTACTTGATTGACCAATCAATCACCAACTTTAATATTATGTTTTTATTTAAATAACAGAAGGAATCCTATTAAAGAGCAGTAAGATCAATGCAAACAATTAATTATTTATTAACACAGATTATCTTTAAGTATTTTTTTAATCAAAATTATTAACTAAGCTGAAACTTAATTCATGCACTCATTAGTTCTAACTTACTATTTTCTATAACATCAATTAACACTAATTTTGAGTATATAAAATTATAAATAATTTTGTATTAAAAAATAATAATATGTTGTGAAATTTGTTATATTAATAATATTGAATGTTATAATTTATTTATTTTAATTTTTAAGGCATTGAGTAATTTCTTACTTTTTATAATTTATATTAGAAAGATATTTATTATATAATAAATATTTTCTTAAAATAATAAATTTCAAATTAACTTTAAAGATTAATATTAGTATTTTTTAGAAAATGTTATTCTCAAAATTTTAAAATAAATTATGAATTTAATATAATAAATTAAATTTTAAGAACGGACGTTGACAAAATACAATTTTTTAAATATCGTATGGAGTAAAAAATACGCGTGATAAAAGCTAAGAAATCCAAACGGAAAGTTAGGATACGGACGAAACCTAACAGCTTCTTCGAGGCGTAAGTCATATTTTTCGCCGCATATAAAACACGTGTAGCGTGAGTAGAGTGACACGTGTGATGCGGTTCTTTTGAAAATACCTACCTATGGGGCTGAGGACCTTCTGGAACGTGGTGCACCTTCTGGAACGTTATTATCCTTTTAACTCCACAAATCCATATCAAAAATCTTCATTTTGCTTTCGTTTTTAATCGAAGCGAGAGAAAGAAAGAAAGGGTTCTAATTTTCATCAGCACGCTCGAATCCAATCGTAGATTCTCAATAAACAAAGAGGAAACTCTCAACTCACATAGAAGAAACGAGCTGTGGTAGCAAAATATCGTTGTCATTGATTGCCTATATTTGGCAACGAACTATTTTGTGGTTTGGATTTAGAGACGGGTTTCATGGTATATTTGTTTGACGGGAGAAGCAACGGTAACGACAACGGCAGCGGCAATGGCGAGTGAGGGTATGGTTTTGAAGGGAAAGGACGCGTCGACGTTGCTTTTAACGTCGGGGGCCAGTGGGCGCATAAGCGCCTTATTCTCCCTCCGAGCCTTGAGGGCTCTGCTAACCTTCTTAAACGGCGTTGTTTTGCTCCTCCTCTTTCCCTTCCGCAAAGGAACGGTGTCGTCGCGATTCTCTTGGAAGAGTACCGGTGCCGGTTCCAATTCCACGGCGAGGAGGGCGTTGGCTATTCGGAGAGTGTTGGAGGAGCGTGACTCGGACGCAGATGGAAGTAGCTTGAGGGAGTACCGTCTCTTCCCTACCTCAAGGGGTGACACAATTTTCACCCAGTCTTGGATTCCCCTCTCTCCCAACAATACCGTCAGGTTTCTCTCTTTCCTCTCGCTTGTTGTTTAATAATTTGGAGTTCTGAAATTTCTTTTTCTAAAATTTTGAAATGCTATTTGTGCAGGGGAGTTGTTGTTCTTATGCATGGACTTAATGAACACAGGTTTGTATTTGTTCATTAGTGTAAATTAATTTTCCTTCCCTTTGCCATTTTCCAACTCGTTCGCTTGATTTATTCCTGATCCTGATCGTGAGCGTTGTTTCTCTTCTCTGACAGTGGCAGGTATACTCATTTTGCGAAACAGCTCAATGCTAATGGCTTCAAGGTTTACGGGATGGATTGGGTTGGTAAGATTTGTATCTCCTTAGCACCATTATTGAATTTTGATTATTATTCACTATTGAGTATTGACCACGCGGGAACGTAAAACGATTATAAACAATCAATTTTCTATTTTCCCTATTGCTCTTAAGAGATGTTTTCTTGCCCCTATGCTCAGTACTGACTTTGGTTCTTTTAAAATAATTTTCAATCGTTGTTGTTTGAGTTTGTGGAAAATAGAGTTTAATTTGTGACCAGCTGTTGTTCTGGAAGGAGTACCCATTGGTTCCAATGGATTCAAATTTACAACATCCATGCTTTTAGTATGAAGTTTAATGATTTAATTTATTCTCCAATTTAACTGGTATTTCTTTCCTCCTCATCATTACTAGAGAATTTTCTAACTATGTAAACTTTCTTTACAGGATCTGTCTCTAAATTTATTTATGATCTTTGAGTATTTTCTAGTGCCAACTTTTATGTCACTGTTTTGCATATATGTTTATGGTACTCCAATTAGGCAATCTGCAGAAGACAGTGATCTTTTTGTCATGTGCTTTAAAGATCATTGCACTTCAACATTTATCTATATTCGGATGTTGCAGGACTGAGTTATTTGGATTCCATTTGTGTTATAAAGTAGTATGTGAAGCTCCAAGTAAGCTTAGCGTCTGACAGTTTTGTGTTTGACTTGCATTTTTAAGATTTGTAGATAATGCGTGATTTAGCACATACACGGCAAAGATTGTTTCTCTGAAGTCTGGAAATATATGCATTTTGAATTAAAATTTAATATTTCTACTTGTAGCTATCAAAAGCTCTATATTGAATAGGAATATGGTCCATGTACTCATTATAAGAATCTACCAATAGTCTTCCCTTGAGCTAACTCTTGGGTTAGGCGTAGTTATTTCGAATATTGTATTCGAGCCTCTTGGGAGGTCTAGTTTTGGTTGTAACTTGTACAATGGGTGCGCTAAGATGTCATGCATCAGCTAAAATGTGACCGAATTAGATTTTGTTTAAGCAATCATCTTCCCTTGATTTATCTTTTGGAATTGAGTTGGGTGTGTTTCATTTCTATTGTAAATCGTGCTTCTTCTTTTTTAGTTTTTTTGGGGGATGGTGGAATTTTGGGTAATTCATTTTGGGTTTATGTGATTATTTTCTTTAGCAGGTGTGTGATGCTTTTTATTAGTTCTATGGAACACTAGAGTGATTCAACTGACCCGCCTAGGTGCCTCCTAAAGCAGGAGTAAGGGTCATGGAATAGTGAGTGCAACGTATGTTACCAAGTTCTCTTTTAAATAAATAATTAATACAAGTATCTGATTTAAAATTTACTTATTTTGATTCCCTTTTCTTCATTAGTTAAAGCATACGTAGGTTTCATAAATGGTGATTTATTAGAATATGAAAATTTCAGAAACAATTATTTGGACTCAAAATCTATCCAGGAAACTTGATGCTTTATTTTCCTTTCCCGTATTATGCTTTAAAATATTTTTCATCCTGTCAATATTTGCTCAACTTATCTCTTATGTTTCACCTAGGCCACGGTGGAAGTGATGGGTTGCATGCTTATGTCCATTCTCTTGATGATGCTGTTTCTGATATGGTAAGTCCTGGAACTGCATGAGGTTGTGATTTCTGTTTTAAATCATGCATGAGGGTTAACTGTTAGAGAGGTGCAGTGGGTAGGATTAATATTTATAGATTTATTATCTGATAGGAATGTCTTTGTTCCGATAAAGAATTTTCTCTTTTCGATGTACAGAAAGTATTTTTGGAGAGGGTTCAAACTGAAAATCCTGGGCTTCCATGTTTCTGCTTTGGACACTCAACAGGAGCAGCCATTACTCTAAAGGTAATGTCTTTATGAAATATGATTCTTGCTACCATTAGTAAAGGGAAAAGAGGCTCAAGAATTATAAATGATTTAGCTCTTGATTTCTGTCTTCATTTTAGGCTCTACTTGACCCGAAGGTTGAAGCTCGCATAGCTGGTGCAATATTGACGTCACCTGCAGTTGGTGTTTCGCCTTCTCATCCAATTTTGGTGGTAAAGCATATTCTAACGATTCCATCCAGTTTATCATTTGATACACGAATGCATAGATCACGGCAGAATTAGAATATTCATCTCCGTAGTCCTCTTCATTGCAGGTACTTGCTCCTATAGCTTCATTTTTGCTGCCAACGTATCAATGTAGTTCTGCATATAAGAAAGGGTTGCCTGTGTCTCGAGACCCAGATGCTCTAATTGCTAAATATTCTGATCCATTAGTATGTACTGGACCTCTTAGAGTACGTACTGGCTATGAGATTCTCAGAATTACGAGCTACTTGCAGCAAAACATGAGAAAATTGAGAGTTCCATTTTTAGTTCTCCATGGCACTGCTGATTCCGTAACTGATCCTGCTGCTTCTAAAAAATTGTATGAAGAAGCCTCCTCAACTGACAAAACTATCAAATTATACGATGGGTTCTTGCATGACCTGCTCTTTGAACCCGAACGAGATGCTATCATACAGGACATAATTCAATGGCTGAACAGGAGAGTATGAGATTAGGTAGTGCTGTGAGTGAAAACATAATGAAAATTTTCACCCATAGAAAATTGAAGCAGCACCTCGTCTTAGTGGTTAATTTCCGGCTTTTCGTAGAGAGGGGAGAGAGATTTGAAGCTGAAGCTACATCAATTGAAGCATTCTTTTAGATGGAAATATCCTGAAAACATGAATCAGCTTCTTTATTGTTAGGATCAGATTTATTGCTCTTTTTTCTCGGACCCGGCAATCAATGGAGCACAGTACGTATTTACACTTCAATTAAGCCTTTGCTGCATTGCCCGTTGCTTGACCATTTTCTTTTCGCCGTTTTTGTTCCTTCTATTAACCCATTGCTTATTTTACTCTCTTAAGCTTATCATTTTTGGCCGACCAAGATTTACCATCCGAAAAGAGGAAAAAACGGAGTCCTTGTCCAAAAAAATGTCTTGAGAAAGGGCAAATGCATAGAATCTTTCAATGAGATAGTGCTTTTTCAACTCTTTCAAAATGGAATCTATTTCAAACATATATACTATAGTTCCTTACTTCGACAGAGTACAAATATATAAATTTCATATTTTTAAATATTTTTTTAGACCTATTGCCGATACTAAGTAGTAGTCAAAAATTTGTATCTATTTTTCATGATATTATGCATGGATCAGATATATCATGGCGAATTCTTTAGATTCCATTGTGTCTTTTACAGTGCAATCTGATAAGTGAAATTTTGAGTAATTATTTACATAATCTTTTTCTAACAGTCAATACGTTAAATATAAATTAAATAAAGTAATAAATTATAATAAATAAAATAATAAATTATAACATATATAAATTAAATGAAAGATTCAGATTTAGTAATAAATTATAACACATAGGTTAAGTAAAAGATTTTGTCAAAAAAAAATTTAGATTAATTATAATGAAAAGATACAGTAAAAGTTTCTTCAAAATCTCAGTAAACTGAATTAATTAAACCATTGTAAATCAATTTTTTTCCTCAAATTTTGTCAAATAAAATATTATATTTCACTTAAAAATAATATGCATTAAATGCACGTAAAAAAAATAAATCAAATAAATTTAGCAATGAGACGAAGTGGTATAATTAAATTCTATTAGTCTATTACATAAAAAGAAAAAATTAATATTAATCTTTAAAATTGATTTTAAGTATTTTAAAAATGTGATATTTTATTTTAAAAAAATATTAATCACATTTAAAACATGAAATATAATAAATATTTTAAATAAAAAAATTCATTTTTATATACTTAAAATAAACTCTAAAAAATTATTATAAAGCTGATATATAAGTTAGACTCCTAATTTAGGGAAGCAAAATACTCATTTAACTCAGTCTTTTACACATTGACACTTTTTTTCTATCACTACTCATTCTCTATCTTTATCAAATTCCTCCATAGTTTAATCCTATCTCTTTATGATTCAATTAATACTTTTATAAATAGTATAAAATAAAAATTCTGTGAATACTGTAAAATTACATATTTTTAAAAATTAAATCAATCATAAAAAAATTTAAACATACTTTTAGCTAAGGTTATTTTTAAATACACAAACAGAATACCAATTCTATGGTACTCCAGTGCTGATTTCTCACAAGTTTAGTGTGTGTATAATAAAGTAAGTTTATAATTTATTTTTTACATCTTTAACCATTTGTTTTTAATAATTTAACACATTTTAAAATGACCAAACACGCACTGCGAAAAAGGAGACGTGTTAAATGTTTAGGGGCACATATGAGCGTGTGGGTTAACTCTCATATGCAGGATTACATTTCGGAAATGTTTATGTACATTTTTGAGGGGATCTTCTTTTTGATTTTGAAAAATATTTCTACGAAACCTGTATACAAGAAATGCAAAAAAGTAAGTAAGAAAGATAAATATATGCAGCATTTTGAAACGAGGGAACTGATTAAGTTCGGTGATGAAATTGTTGTAAGTAAAAGGAGAGTGTACACTTGAATTTGTTCTTCTTTTCCTGTTCCTTACAAATTAGATGTATGAAGGAGGTGTTCATGAACAAAGCATTTGACATTGTTTGAAAACCCTACTCAAAATGTCAAGGCGTCAACTATAAAATCCAAATATTGTTTGATTTCCACTAACATGAGCAATGCATTCCGCACTCTACTCACTCCACTCGAAACAAACACTTTTTATACATATAATATTTAGTAATAACGCCTAACCACAGAAGAGAACCCAATAACTTCCCTCTCTCTCCGCCAAACCCATTTTATTTATCTTTCAATTTGCAGGGTTTCGATTCCATGTCGTTTCCTGCTAAGAAATTCATCAACCACCCCAACGGTATGCTTTTCTTCCATCCTTTTGATTTTAATTTTCTCATGTTCTTACTCATCTCTTTTGTCGCCCTTCCTCACAGTGAAATTCATCTCCTATGCATTGCAGATTTCAGATTAGCCATCCTCGAATTCATTGTTTTCTGTTTATTCCATATCATTTTACACTTATCTTGCAAGTTTTATAACCTCAATTTTTATTGATCGCAGATGTTGTCACTGAATACATTGAAGGTCTTGTGCAGACTTATCCTGGCCTCAACTATTTAGATGGCTTTCCGCAGGTGAGTCGTTACTTCCACCTACTTTGTTCTTTTTTGTATGTATGCGAACATGCCTCTTGTACTTGTATTAACTGTGAAAGTTCCTTAACATGTTTTTTTTTTTTTTCATTTGCTCGGCGGAATGCAGGTGAAGGTTGTGTTGCGTGCCGATGTTTCATGTGCAACGAACAATAAAGTTGCAATCATATCAGGTGAGGGACGGGAAGCATAAGACCATCCATTGAATTCTGTTCAGTGCTTTTTCCGTTTGATTTTGAGGAGTTGTATTATTAGGATTCACATCAAAACATATTGGGGTTGATAGTAGCCGGAAAGAAAACATGTATACCTTTACAATTCCTGATAGATTCTCATGGATGAACCAAATTGATCTGTTGCTTGTTTTTTTTATTGCTAACCTATGTCCTGAGGAGAATTATCACGTAGTGTGTTCCTTTCTAATTCCTCTTCCAGGGGGAGGCAGTGGCCATGAGCCTGCTCAAGCTGGATATGTGGGAGAAGGAATGCTGACAGCAGCCATTTGTGGGGACATCTTTGCCTCTCCACCAGTTGATTCAATTCTAGCTGTATGGGTCCATTTTATTGTTGGAAGTATCGTGTATATCACCCTTTCAATTATAAATATGCCGGTGGATTCTGCTTTATTACCCTGATACATTCTTTTAATATTAGGGGATACGAGCTGTAACTGGTCCGATGGGATGTCTTCTGATTGTCACGGTATTATTTGCAGTTTCTTTTATTGATACATTAGTGCCCTTTCCTGATAAGTACATGTTTTTATGTTGCACGTTCTGATCAAGAAGGAAAGGGAAAGAAAAGTATGAATGATATTTTTTTTATCTGATCTTGAAGTCCATAATGTTTTTGTTTTACAAAAGCAGAAGTCTAAATAAGAAAGTGTACATTAACTAATTTCCTTCATCCTTTTCTCTCCAACAATTGTGAATTTCCTTATCTTTCCAATGAATCCCACAGGATTGTGCTGAGGAGCCGGGAGTTGTTGCTAATAGATCAGTTTCTATGTTTGACAATCTGCTCATTGAAGTTAATGCTTGCTGTAGTTAAGACAGAGATGAAAAGAATTAGAAGAACTTACATTTTTTTCTCCTTAAATGTTTTTGGCAATCTGCAAAGTCAGTTTTAAATGTGATAATGTGTGGTATTTGCACTAGTATGGTCAGATCATGGGGAGTCAATAGGATCTGCTTTTGTTTCTGGATTCATAGTGTTCAAATTTGGGTGTTGATAGAACTATACTGGTGATCGTTTGAACTTTGGTTTGGCTGCTGAGCAAGCAAAATCTGAAGGTTATAAAGTAGAGGTATGTTTAGAATTTAGATGGAGATTGTTTTCATCTTTAAGCTATAATAATTACTATTATATAAGTAAAGAATGACAAGTATTATGCATTGTGCAGACTGTGATTGTTGGGGATGATTGTGCCTTACCTCCACCTCGAGGAATTGCTGGAAGAAGAGGTTTGGCAGGCACTATTCTGGTTCATAAGGTTCATTTGCAAATCCCTTCTGTGTTTATTGCATTATGTTTGTCTAGCTATAAGAAGGAACTTTCTGTTTCTGGCATGTGTAATAATGTGATTTTATTTTCTTGTTGAAAGTTGAATTAAAATTTTAGCAAATTATGTTTATAATCAAGTTCTTATTGACTTTCATATTTAATCATATTTTTGTATTGAGTGAGGCAGGTTGCAGGAGCTGCAGCTGCTGCTGGCCTTTCTCTTGTTGATGTTGCTGCAGAAGCAAAACGTGCATCTGAAATGGTGGGCACAATGGGTGTTGCGCTATCCATTTGCACACTTCCTGGTCAGGTTACATCAGATCGTTTGGGCCCAGAAAAGATGGAACTAGGTCTTGGAATTGTAAGATACCTTCAGTTAGGCACCTTGTCTAAACAAAAACTGTAAAACTTCAAAATTTTTGTAAATAGTACGAATAAGTCATGCAATGTCTTTTTCTCTCGTCTCATCTCTCTTTTTTTTCCTGGTTGATCGAGATGAATTGCTTATCTCACCTGTTTGTATTTCTCTCCTTTCTCTTAATACAGTCGTAATAAGAAAAAAAACTACAAAAAAATTATTATTTTGTCTTCACCTTTCACTGCTTTCATTTCTCATTCGAATTCCAAATATTATACAGCATGGAGAACCTGGTGCAGTTGTGGCGGATCTTCAGCCTGTAGATATAGTGGTTTCTCATGTTCTTAAGCAAATATTGTCTCCGGTATGCCACAATTTTGTATGGAAAGTGCTTGGTTCCATTGATTGATTGGTGTATACTAATGGAAACAATTAGTTTTTGTTTATCCTTTAAGCATGTACCATGTCACCTCATCAATGATAAACGAAATTACTAGTACATGTCTTATAATGACATACAGTGCTCAGCCTTGGACTGTTTTGGGAATGTTCCTATATCTGATATTTAGGGAGACTGTAGAGTTTGCGTGTTGAGTTCATCTTTTTACATTTTTTTCTTTGCATCTGAATTAGAGGTTTTTCTATTCTATTCTATCATCTCTTGATATGGTTTCTTGTCTGTATATTATATTCTTTATCTTTGAAACAGAGATTTTCTGAGTTTTTATTTTCTTCTTGTCTATGTATGCATGTTCATTATGTTTGTCATAGTCACCTTAGGCATTTATATACTAGTGTCTAACATGCATGACTGCATATGAACCAGGTTTTCATTTTTTAAATTTAGCTAATATGGAGAGTAAATGAATTTTTCTTACACATTTTACATAGCTACCTACTAATCTCAACTCCCTTTTTTTTAAGGTTAATGTTTATATCTTGGTTTATCCATATTATATCAGTATTAATTAGTATAAAGAGGAGAGAGGTCAGGAGAATAAATAGAGAACAACAGCTGAATTTTGCATTTAATTATCTTAAAGTTTTACTTTCTTGCTTCAGTGTGAGAGCTACTGTTTTAAGTTTGAGTCACTTATTGCATACAATCTCACCATGAAGCCTTTTATATGATCTTTCTTGTGAATAAGTTACAGTCATTTTACTTTTGGTAATATTTGCAGGAAACAAACTATGTTCCAATAACACGAGGTTGTAGAGTGGTCCTCATGGTCAATGGGTAGGTTCATTAATATTATTCTTGTTTGATAACCAAATTTATCTTTTTGTAATTTTTGAAAGCTTCATAATTTCCTTAGAAATAATATTCAAATCAAAAGCACCATTTTAAAAAAATCATGCAAGTATTTTCATGGATCTTTTCATTTTAAAAAGAAATTAACTTCAATATTGTCCACTTGAAGCTTTTTAAAATTGGTTATCTGCTGATTTATTAAAAATATGTTGACCTTTATTTAGGTAGCACTAAATTTTTATCTACAAATATGTCAGCTATCAAGAATTATGTGGTTTGCCTACTCTTCTTTTTCTTTTATATTTCACTATTGTTGAGGGCAAGTCTGTCATGGGTTCAAATCTTGGATTAAACTTTTCTGCTTGTAGAGTAAGGCTGCATACATCTATTCTCCCTAGAACCCAGTAGGTGAAAGATTCCTGTACTTGGTCGCTCCTTATATTTCACTAGTGGCTAAGAAAATGATTAGATTTGTTACTTCTTTGATTAGGAGTCTGCACATCAATTATTTGCTTTTGCTGAATACACTATTGTTAAACACACTTTTTGATATCTTGCTGTTTTAAGTGTTGAGCTGTTTTTACTACAAGGATTCAAGCTTCTATACTTAATTTGTCAATGGTATGACAATGAACTAAGTAAAGTATTTCTGAGAAGTGAGTACACGTGTGATTCCATGAACACAAAATAATATAATTTTTTTCAATGAGTCCTATTATTTTATTTAGATGTCTTGTTCCAAAATTTTAGTAAGCCCATAGCTCAAATGTTACATTAGACCATAATTTTATTGATATTTATGATTGCCTTTGAGGAATCCTAAAGCGGCGTTCTTCAAATGCAGGTTAGGTGGCACCCCTTTAATGGAACTAATGATTGCAGCGGGAAAAGCAGTTCCAAAATTGCAACTGGAGCATGGACTGGCTGTTGATAGGGTCTATACAGGTTCATTTATAACTTCTATCGATATGGCAGGTAAGCAGGTTTGTTATTGCAGATAATGGCTATATACCTTTTCACTCTGATTCATTAAGCTGTTCTGATTAGCATTTCTCTCTTAGGTTTCTCAATTTCTATCATGAAGGCTGATGCATCTATTCTTCAACGTTTAGATGCTGCAACTAAAGCTCCTTATTGGCCTGTTGCAGTAGATGGTCAGTCATCGCTCATTTGCTTCCTTTAATTAAATTCATTACTTGAAGACTTGAAAATGTTATTAATATTATATGTGACTAGTGTATATATATTGGGCTAATAGCCTAATACCAACCTGATTTTTGTCTCTTTTAAATCATTTGTTAACTGTCACAAGCAAATTAATTAAATAAAGCATTCATTGAACTTTTGAAGTTCCTTGTTGACAGGTAATCGCCCACCTGCGAAGATTCCTGTTCCAGTTCCACCATCTCTGTCAGCTAAGAGTGACAAAGTACATCCATGGAAATGTTTTGTTTCCCTTCTATGAATTTTCAAATAATTTTAGTCTAGAAAATGTTTACAAACAAAATTATTTTTTGTCTCGCAAATGTACAAAGAATATAATTGGAAGTTCTTAATTAAAATTAAATATGTATACATCATCCAACTGAAATTTTTGTACCAGTAGTTGGTTTGTTTAATGGGAAATTTCTAGCTCATAACTATGTTGAAAGAGAAAAAATTATATACCGGCATATTTTCATTTGTATGTTTTCATAATTTTGTCTTATCTAGTGTTGATTACGTATTCTAAATGTGGGACTGCTTCTGTTTACATTTTTGCTTCATGTAAGCCACGGAGTCAGCCATTTCCATTAAATGAGCAAGGCCAGCTTCTTCAGGAAGCCATCAAAGCTGGTGCAAATGCAATTATAGATCTTAAGGACAGTCTAAATGAATGGGACAGCAAAGTTGGTGATGGTGACTGCGGATCAACTGTGAGTCCTGTCCTCAAAATCATCATGGAACCTGTTATATATTTGTTGACGTATCCACTGCATGACTTACTACATCTGGTCTGCTGTTGCAGATGCATAGAGGTGCAAAAGCAGTTCTTGAGGACATCAAAAAGTAAGTTTATGCTCGTCTTTGCTCTAGGGAACACTGAGGACAATCTGCACATATGTTTTTGCAAGGAATGCTTATCTCATTTTTCCTGGACTTGTAAATCCCTTCTAGAAAATGGATAGGTGAATTTTCATTGATCCAGAGAAAATGATATGCTTCAAAAGGGTTTCATTATTTATCTTAATTGCATCTCAGAATTTTCTACCAATAATTTTTATAGTAATTGTATTATCTAATTTCACGTTTAACAAGTTAATAATCCATTTTAAAATAGCTTGGGCATAAGTTGTAATGCTTTCTAGGAGGCAGATCTTATGAGTGAATTATTTAAAATATTGCTATTTGAAAATTTTGTAGTTTTCCAAAAACATTTTATCGTCTGAGCAGAGTCAGCTTTCCCTGGAGTTGAAACTGACATTATGAAGGATGAATCATCAGTTATTCTGCTGAGTATTTATAAATTGGCTTGTTGCATTTGCTTTTTTTCTCACTGTTTATGCTGTTTTACTCAATAACGAGAAAGAGTCCCATTACTCTTTATTAATGGACCAGCTTACTCTTTGAACAATTTGATTACCTGGTGCAGTTTGGTTTTCAAAATGCAGATTTTAAGGGTGGGGTACGGCCATATTGAGAAAACACTTCAATACCTTATTTGGTAATGAAGTATTCTTAGTCAAATAAAAATTCAAAATACATACCCATGGAACAGACCCCTTAAGGATATCTGTGATTTCCCATAGATTAACTGTTGTAATAACCAAGCCAACTTTTAATTCTTCTTCCTCCTGCCAACCCAAATTTATGTATTAATTCATCTGTGCAATTTAGTCAGTTGTGTGTAATGGGTATACTCGTAACCATGAATTATTGGCACTAATATTTGCTTTAACACACTATTTGTGGGTGCACAAGGGTGACCAGTTATTTGCTCATGTTCTGGATTAATTTTGTGTTGATGCATGTTGTGTTAGGCCTTCTATGTGCCCTTGAGAAACCTCAAAACGACTGATGGCTGCTTCAAACTCATTGTTAATTTAAATGGTAATCATGATCTGATATGAACTGACTGACATTTTTTTGTTCATAGTTATCCTCTAAATGATGCTGCAGAGACTGTTAATGAAATTGAAGCATCAATTGGACGAGCTATGGGAGGAACAAGTGGGATCATGTATAATGCCATTCCTATGTCTTTCATAACCCATAGTATTTATGCTGTCTCGTTATTATCACTTTCACATTTAATTATATGTGTGTGTGTTGTATTTCCAGATATTCAATTTTTTGTAAGGCAGCATATGCACAACTTAAAGCAATTTCCCACTCTGGTGTCACACCAAAACAATGTAAGAATATTCTCCTAATCAAGCAACAACTTATTTTTATTTCATTTATCTTGTCTTGGTAGAATCATCTTCCATCGTTGATTCTTTTGATTCAGGGACTGAAGCACTTGCAGCTGGCATTGCTGCTGTCAGTAAATACGGGGGCGCTAGTGCTGGTTATAGAACATTGCTAGATGCTCTTATTCCAGCATTGTCAGTTCTTCAAGAGGTATCAACAATATTTTTCAATTGCCCTTAATTATTGACACAGCCTTATCACTGTTGCTTTTCTCTGGGCTTACAGAGATTAAGTTCCGGTAATGATCCTTCCACTGCTTTTGTTCTTTCCTCTGAAGCTGCATTAGCTGGAGCTGAGTCAACCAAGAACATGCAAGCACAGGTGACAATCTCATTATATATTCTTTGCTGTTGTAGGCTGTTAGGAGCTAGTATATGCTAGATTGATCATGTGGGAAATATGAATGAGGGGCAGTAGAGGGATTTGGGTTGCAACAACTTTACGTATGTGGCAAGAAAGGGACGACGGAAGGGGAAATGGTTAGACTTAGAGGCAAAGAAAAAATGGAGGGAAAGGTAGGAGAGAGGGGAGGCCGTCATTGAGTGAGTTTGGGGGGCCTTTAGGCCAGGAGGTGCAGATCCTTGAAGTTCTGCAGTGTTCTATTCTCATCTTAGTAATTGGGGCTGACTTTGTTGAGTAAAACAAAAGTTGTAGGTGATAATTGATGCAAATCAATCTCATGTTAATTAAAAAACATAACAAGCCTCTGCCTTTTAAGTTATATATACAATCCTACTGGTGGATCAAGGTTGTGTTGCTACTTGCTTGACGACTGACTGCCAAAAGATAAACGGATAATTACATACAAAAAAGGTTATTGGTCAGAGATAACCTTCTTCCCACTGCATTCTAATTTTGATTATATTAAGTTGATTACCTGTGCTTAATTGATCTCAGCCTCATTGGGTCTATGAATTCTTGACTTGCCATGCATGACAAAGTGGGGCTAAAATACGGGGATTTCCTATTTTGAGATGCTCCTTTTGAGTAACAATAACCTAGTCACATTTAAATATTCAACCTAAGGATTCGTGGTAATCAACTAATCATTATGCACTCGACTAGATGAATTGAAGTTCTGAATAGGATTTAAAATTCAGAAATTGTTCCAGAAATTCACTTCCAACTTTTTATTGTGTTGTCATGGCCTATATGGGTCTGACGATGTAACAAATGCAGGCTGGGCGTTCAACTTATGTATCGAGAGAGATTCTTTCATCAGTTCCTGACCCCGGTGCTATGGCTGCTGCATCATGGTACAGAGCTGCAGCCTTAGTTGTGAAACAGCAAAGCAAGAGTTAAGCTACGCATATAGCGCTTCTGTGTCTTCTTTATGTGGAGATATAGCAAAGTTGTTCTGGATGTTTACTCTGTATAATACCAGACAATAAAAATTATGTAACTAATAACTAATTGTATTACTGTAAATATTAGTCGTACTTCCATTTCCATTTGCCAGTCGCTTTTATATATGCTAAATTAAGTTGATGTAAATTTGAAAAATAAATTACTACCATCGACAGCACTATCCTTCTCAATATGACCTTAGGATTGTAATGCTCATCGTTCGCGTGTCTATTATTAGTTTAAGGGAATTTATTTCTGGAAATCAAACTTCCGGCAGATGATCTATAAATCACTTGCGGAATTAAAACTTTGCAAGGATTTTTTTTTTTTTTAATTTCGGAATTAAAATTTCGGATTCATGGGTGGGGGGTAGGTATCTTCAGTTTAATACTCCGTGCTGGATCATAAACTATATTACCCGTCCTGTTATTTGCTGTGGCAGTTATGTCCTTGCTTCATTCTTTCATTTCTTTGATTTTGCATGAGTGATTACGTCCCACAAAGCGCATGAATGACTGCTAGTAGGGATAATTATCTTTTTTTTAAGATATGACACACGGATTAGAATTAATGAATTCTGATTTCATTCGATCAATATTAAAGGCTTATAAACAGGGGGTCATCAATGATAACTACATAACTTGTCAACCACCCTAACTAAATAGCTGCCTACTGTATAAATACAGTGTGTACAAAATACAGATGAAACAGATTATGTTAGCTCCAATATACCTGGCAAGTTGGAGAGTGTATGTCATGCACTGCTAGCTTGGATACTAAGTGTGAAAATGGGTGAAGATCCGAAGGCCTAGTAGTAAGAATATCAGCCAACTGAGCTGAGTTACAAATCAGGAATAAATGAAAGAGCTTGACTTACAACTTTTATCTTATAACATAGCAATCAATACCTATATGTTTTGTCCTCTCATGAAGGCAAGCATTAGCAATTATATGTCTAGCTGATTGGCTACCACAATACAAGAGAGCTGGTGAGAGAAAAGGAACATAAAGTTCTTGAAGAAGGCATGTAAGCCACTGCTAATAAAAAGTGGAAACAAGAGCACAGTTCTTTGCTTCAGAGGAGGACCAAGGTACAATGTTTTGCTTCCTTGAGTGCCAAGAAATCACCAAGGAAGATACCGTATTCGAGTTAACACTGATGATCATCAGTAGTTTATACACACTACTTGTACAATGGTAGGCTCACCCTAAAGCTTCAGTAACCTCTAGTAAAAACGCTCAAACCTATCAAGATCCATCGTTAAATTTTTTAAGCCCATTTTAAATTCACTCTAGTGAAAATTCAGGCTTTATGCTTGTTTCTCTGCCACTAAATGGAAGCAATTATGACTCATGGAGTTGAGGCATAAAGCACGAATTTACTCACTAAGAACAATTTGAACTACTGCTCCAAGCTAGTAACAATGGTTCCATTATTGCTTCAGCTATTAAGAATCCATGCACTCTGCGAGACATGGGATATGCAACGTTATGGCGATCTCTTCAATTACCAGAAGCCTATCTAACTGCCTACTGTATAAATACCATGTTTACGAAATACAAATGAAATATAATTTTTCTTCAATGAGAATTTTAGGAAGACTAATAAGAATGTTTTTTAAGATAAATGCTAGTAATATTCTCCATACCATGTTTTTTCAAAAATTATTTATTATTTAAAATTTATTAAAAATTATAAAAAAAATGTGTAAATTTCATTCATTCATACTTTATAGTTTTTAATAAAATTTAGTCAATAATAGAAAATATATTTAAAAAATTTGGTTTTAGTATTTTATTTTTTTAAGTATAAAATACACAATTTATTTCTCTGGTTTCGATGTTTTGGGCAAATTTTGTTCCCTAATACCATTTCTTAATTCTCATAATACTTGAATGGGATCGAATAAGGATAAGGGTCTATCATTGTCAAATTAAAATTAAAATAACTACTAAAATACAGCTTAAAAGGTGGAACATCAATTAATCCATGAAAAAGAAAGGGCATTGTTAAAACTAGGTACATCCAGGCTTCGCGTGGAGTGCGTTAAGAACTGATACATAGCTCATATTTTTCATAGTAATTTCTTTTTTTATTTATTTTGACTCTTGTAAACAATTGAAGAACATGTGAAGTAATTACAGAAGATGAGGATGCGATTGTTACAGCAGCAAAACTAATGATTTACAAATACCTTATATAAATAGAATTTTTCTTTGATGAACCTCAAATATGTTGGCGTGACAAATTCATGAGAATGCTGAAAATAGCTTAACTGGCAGCTTCACGGTCCAAGCTTCGCATATTATATATATTATATGCAAATTTGAGTAAGAGGAAGGAAAACAACGTAATTTCTTTAATTCTTTAGATTAAAAACGGGAAAAACATTAATTTAATAAAAAAAAAAGTAAAATTTCCAAATTTTTATAGTTTTTAATAAATTTTATTCAATAATAAAAGATGTATTAAAAAAATGTTAAACAATATATTGCATAATGTCTACTGGCAAAATGTTACCGATTAGAATGGATTCAAGAAAAATAATAATTTTAGAAGCTACAACTTTATATATTGGTGAATCTTTAATAAATGTTAGGCATGACATTTTAAGCATATTTAATGTCATTGTAATTTAAAATTTATTTTTGATCTCAATAATTACTCTAAACTTTAATTCTAAAAAGATAATATCAAAATATATAAAATGCTACACTTAATTTTTGTTTATAATATTTTTTTAGGTATGAAATAGGATATCTTGTAACTTTTTTTTTTCTTTATTGTGTAACATTGAAGTATTAATGCTTTCTCTCAGAACAAAGAATGTGTTAGCTTTTTCTAGTTTATAGAGGAAAACAGTTGTTCAGGTAGTTTAATCACTACCATACTGCTTGATTGGAAAGAAATGAGGGAAAGGAGAGAAAAAAATTAAGGAATCAAAACTTCCCCTTTCTCCCTCTAATAGTGGAAGGTTTTTATCTTTTTTTTTCTTTTCCTAATTCCTTTTATTAAAATTTTTCTATTTCTCTCCTTTTATCCAAAAAGTCATTCCGAGTCACCCAAACAAATATACAGTTTTTGTTATTGGAAATTCAATTTTTTCTAACAAATGTAACATTACACAGTAAAATTTTATTAAAAACTATAAAATTTAATACATTAAAATTATTAAATATGATTTTTAATCATGTACGGCATTATATGAGTTAGAAAATTTGTTCTAAATAAGGAATTTGGCGTCTGTAGACGTGTAACTGGTACTCGTTGGTACATGGTTCACTTTTTTTTTTTTCTTGTTTCTCAAAGTAATTCTCAGTTTTCACATTTCTTTCCCAAATGTCAGAAACAGACACAACGAGAGGTGACCATGATGATTCAAGAAGTGGATGTGGATGAGCTCAAAGAACTTCTGACGACTTCGTCTCAATGATCCAAAATACATGGCTGCAATTGCTCTTTTATCACAAAACAAATAATATTAAATCATAAAATTTGACGGTGGTATCAGATATCCGCATTATATCAATTGTCAATTTGTCACATATTTAAGTTCCACAGCAGATATGCAAAAATATCAACGTATATTTGAAGAAAAAAAATGTTGATAATCGATAGCCCTCTGAAAAATAAACAAGTAAGTAAAATGGCCTTCTGTTAACGATTTTTCTGTTCTATGCAATAGGTTTATATATTAAATAGTTGAGAAATAATTTTTTAGTAAGATATTTTTATTTTTAGCAGAAAAACTAAAATAAGATCCAAGACCTGTAATGCAGTTCTATTGAAATTTAACAAAATGAATCAGCGTGATAGATGGGTCCTTTTCTTGGAAACGTGGCCATTGGAGATGTTAATGGATTGCGAATTCGTGCATGCATTGCTACTAAGCTGAATAAGACATGCCCTTCAAAGAATCTATCGTGTTATCATAGTGTCGTCTCTTTAAACATGTGCGTCCCCCCAACTTCTGGTTTCCATTCATTAGATATAGCTAGGGACCATATTCTCAATCTACCACTTCACCTGTGAATAAGTAAATAAGTGTTAATTATATTTTCAGGTGGAAGGTTGAAGTTTTTTACCTCCTTTACCTGGTGGTAAAAAAAGTTACAAAATCAAAGAAAGAACACTTTTTATTTAGATTTAAGTATTTTCTTTAGAAGAATAAAAAAAACCTACATAAAGAATTTGCAAAAATATAAGTAATAAATACATATTTAATCCTTTCGCTTATCATCAATAAAAGAGTTCAATCATCTGAGCAATTTAATCATTAGTTATGGATATTGAGTTTGATCTCTTTCCATAGAAACCATTTGGGTAGGGCTCAATGTGATGTAGTAACTGAGGTTGGCCCTCTACATATCTAGATAGCAACATAGGAGCGCATGTGCTGTCTTTTCTTGTGTCCCTAATTGGAACGGCAACACCTGATTACTGGCAACATGCAGGGTGGTTTCACCAAAACCATGTTCTTGTCTCGGGGGTTCTATCTAAGTGCTTAAATTTCATTAACACTTGATTGCCTTTTATACAGACAGTGCACAAAAGCAAGATCATCTCAAGTTTGAAGTTCCACATGGTGTGACAGTGTAAGTTAGAAGAGTGGGAGCCATTATCCATTCTAACACTAACTTCCTTTCTTGTGGAAGAAGGGACTTCAACAACTATTTCATTTCCTTTTGGATTTGCGTGCAGACCATGTGAAGATTGAGGGAGGGAGAGAATGAGTTTGTCAATTACTGTGCTTACTGCAACAATTGTGATAGATCAAAGTCATTTTTTAATAAAATTATATTTGTGTGGAGTTTTGGTATATCCTCTTATTTATCTTTTTAATAATTATTTTATACAAAGTAAGAATTAAATAAAAATCACACACATTTATTATTTTCAAAGCATAAAATATATTTAATATTTTTATTTATTATATAGAAATATTTATAAAAATTAAAAAAAAGTATGATTATTTATCTGTACATGTTTGTACTATAATTAATTTAAACTATTTATTTATTTAATCTAAATGAATAAATAAGAATAGAAATAATAAAATAAATGCGTAAGAAGTCAATCTCCACACTCAAGTTAATAAATTTATTATATTTACTAGAATGAGTGATACCTAAAAGGCATGCCTGATATTATTCTTTTTCTGTTGGATAATAGTTAACAAATTTAAAACATATTTTTTTATTAAAAAATACAGTAAAATATATTTCAAATTTTAACAAATTATTTTTAATAATAATTTATACTTTTTTTAATTAGTGTTTTCTTTTTAGGTGTAGTGGTGAGAATACGCCATTCATCAACACAATTGTCAATATCTATATAGACTGCGAGCATGGGATTCTTCGGATTGGTTAATCCTTTGGGCCTAAAGGTATAAATATGGCCCATGGGCCCTATGATGCTATCAAGAACAAAAGACAAATTCAAACAAAACAAAAGATAAAACCTCAATTGTTCATATTAGTGTAGTCTAATTCAATACAAGAAGTTAGTTAGTTTGATATTTTTGTTTTAGTTAGTTATGATAGCTAAAACTCTTTTTTCAAGTATTTTTTTTAATGTGTATTTAAAGGTCACACAATAAAATAATAATAATGAATAATTTTTTTATTAAAATTTATAATATTTAATACTATCAGTATATTATTCTATAATTTAAAAAATTATATATAAATTTTTATTATGTATACTAAAAACATATATTTTTTTCATTTTTTTTATTGTTTCTCAAAATAATTTTCAGTTTCCACCTTCCTTTTCAGATGTAAGAGACACAATGAGAACTAACCATGACAATTCCAGAATTTTTTAATTATTAGTATAACAAACAGTGAAATTTATAAAATGTTATTTTTACTACTTTCTATATAAATCTTTAAAATAGAAAAGAAAATAAAAAAAAAATAGTAATAAAATGTGATTTTTACTACTTTCTATAAAATTCAAAACTAATAAGCTCCATAGCTTTCACGTTTTACACAAATTTAGAATACTAATCATTTAACCATACCAAAGTCCTTTTAGAAATTCGATTAAGTTCTCAATAAGTATTTATAAAAGAAAAAAAAAAAAAAACCAAACTCCTATAAATAAAAAATAACTTATATTTTCCATTTTTATTTTTTATAATTAGCTTTTTTAAAACATGATACAAGATAATTTTAACTTAAAAGAAGATTATTAATTATTTACTATTTTGTTCCTCCTACAATTATTTCTATATAAGTTTACCTAAATTTGAGAACGAAAAAATTGTAATCTAGATGTGATGTGGCAATCAATCTCAAGGTTACAAGAAATGAAGGAAATTAAATGAACTTAGAGATTGAGTGAAGTGGCTGGGCAAATTGCTATTATTAGTTTATTAATTTATTTCGTTAGCTCTTTACTAAATGATGATAGCATAATCCTCACAACTCTCATTCTCTTCTCACAGTGTTCAATTAAATTAGTACTATTAAATTTCAAATTAATGGTAAAGAATACTAATGAATTTTCACGGTACATTGAAAAGTTTTATTATAAAATTAATTAATCCATCTAAAATATTACCACACAAGTGCCTTCATTTTGGTGGTAACTAGAATGATTTATCATAAACACTTGTAATTGGTTTTTTTTAATCTTTTTCATCGCATTATCGATCTGATCTCATGTTTATCCAACACTCTTTCTCAACATGCAGTTGCAATTTTATCTTTCTAGTTATTATATGAATATTTTAACAAAATTAAACTAAAAAAAGATAGGCTATGCTGATGCGCGGAATTAATGAGGAAAAATAAATTATAAGAAAGCAAGCGTTGAGAATTAATTAAAAAAGAAAAGAGATTAACGACAATAATGTTGTTAATTAACATAAAAACTACTGAGTGAGAGAAGAGACATTGCCGGTAGAAGCAGAAGCAGAAGAAGAAGAAGAAGAGTTCTTATGGTTATGCATCCAAACTTTGAAAACTTGTCTACTCACGCCAACACCTTTGCAGAACCTCTCAATCTCATCATCCATATCCTTCCTTTGAAGCTTCCAACCAAGCTTCTCAGCAAACGCCAACATCTTCTCCTTCTGCTCCGCCGTGAACTTCGACCTGAACCGCTTCTTACTCCCTGAACCCGACTCAACCACCCTCCCTCCTTCCCCGTACTCCACCACCGTCGTCTCCGGCGTCGCCGCTGTTGTCGCCGCCGGGTACTTCACTTTCCGGTGGAAATTGCGGTGACACCCGCATGCGGCGCATTGTAGCGCCTCCGACATCTCCTCCACCGTGAACTCGCCGCAGCCGTCGGTGGCGTAGCTTCCGAGGCTGGCTGCATGGTTTCTTAAGCACTCTCTATATACACTGTTCCACTTCTCTGCAGATCCTCCGTCCATTTTAATTTCTTCTTTCTCTCTCTCTCTCTTGTGGTTTGGTTTGTTTCGTGCGTTTGATGGTTAATTGCAAAGTGCATATTCTATATAATCACATTGTGAGCTTTGCAATGACTACTATGGTCATATTTGGATAGGATATTTACAGTGTCCCCCGTTTTGTGGACACTACCACTATGCAAAAGAGTACACAAATTCAACACTTGAATATTATCTATCTCTTATTCAAACAACATATATATACATCTACGTACTATTTATAAGTAAACGGAGAGATCCCAAAATATAGCATCCAAGTTCAGATAATGCTTTTGTAGACATTGGTTGTATATAGTGATATGCAAAAAGGAGCACAAGTCGTTCATTTTTTATGTTAATTATTTGCTTTTATTTATTTTTTAAGAGACTTTTTTCTATAAAAATTGTTTTTTTTTTTGTAAATTTAAGTAATTTCAACCATGGTATAAATAATCAACTTTATGCAGTGAGAATATGAACTTAACAATAATTATGATTGGGGGATAGAGGAGTTAAATGGAGCAGTAATTTAGAGCCCTGGGAAGGGACAATGGCGTCTATCCAAGGAAATAAGGAAAGGTTGAGAGGCAGTGGGTCCCACAACAGTATGGCCTCTGTCCAATAATTGACTTTGGAATGCAGAAAACAAACCCTTCCGGAATTTCATTATTTTCTATACAGACAGACCCCTCTTTTTGTACTTTTGTACTCTTTCCCTAAACCTACTCTGTATCTTCCTTTCTTTTCTACTATAATATGGACAAAATCTACACCAAACCATTTTATTTATTCATTTCAAACACTCCCCATCTCTCTAATTAACCCTCCTATCTTGTTATTTACTACTTTTTAACCCCACACAAATTCATTTGGCACAACCATATATACATGTTTGGGAGTTTAAATACATCATATATGCTGTGCTTTTTATTTGATTTTCAAAAATGTTACATCTATGATATAAATTTAATTTAAACTCAAGGAGTACCCATACTACAAGAGAATAAAGAGAAATATGAGGGAGAGAATGATAGAGATTGACTTTGCAATAGTTGATTGAAGACATGAGCTGTATAAGAATGGTGCGAGCATAAACAAATGTGAGTGAAATAATCAGTGGGTGGGAAATTGAGAGGGCAAAAGATGAATTCACTTGATGTGTCGGAAAATAATAATGCTTTCTTCAGTGTCTTTTGGGAACCATTCTGCTTTGCTTCCTTTTCTCCCCTCAGTGTCCAGTCACTGTACTATGTGACCCTTCCTACAGTGCCCCAATGCCCACAAACCCAATTACCACTTTAGGTGTAAAGTCTTGCTCTGTATGCCTTTTTTTGGTTAAGGCTGCAACCAAAATATCCATGCTCCATCTCCTTATATTATTACAGATTCTATCGTTGATTATCATACTAAACAGCAAATCGATGAATACAAATTTAACTTGATAAATTAACAAATTTAAGAAGAAAAAAAAAGTAAAAGTACTATAAAACATCATTATAATTGGTCGTTTCCAAAGGAAGTAAAAAGGCTGCTGAAATTAGTTAGCATTTTATTAACTTCTGCTACATACGAGACTTCCCTGTTCGTCATCTAATGCTCTGATGGAACTTACCCCCATTTGCCTGCTCTTGCCTCAGATCCTGCCAACCTATAAGTTTCTTCTTATTTCACTGAAATCTCAATTTAGTCGAAGTACAAGTGTTTAATTTGGTTCTTGATATTGTCCAAAGAAGATTTAGATTTTATTTTATCAACCATCTCTTTAACTTTACATTTTATATTTAAATTTAAGTGTTTAAAGATTTTTTTATTAAAAATATATGCTTAAATTGGGTTTTCAGTTCTCGTATTTTTATTTTTATGTTGTTTTATTCTTTTATTTTTAATTACTTTTATTTAATATTTTTAGTTTTATAATTCTTTAAGTCTCTTATTTTAAAATTTTATCTACTAGTTAATAAAATTTTAACAAGAATATAATATATAATTAATTTGTATAAATTACAAAAAATAGATAAAATAATTAAATAAAAACAATTTTATTATATTTCATTTATATTTGTTAAAATTTTTATTTAAATGTTTTTTATTTATATAAATTAATAATACGTTAGATCTTTATCATATCTTCATGAGTTATTGAGATGAAATTATCATGTAAAGAACTTTTAATTTAATTTTTTAATATAATTTAGTCAAAATGTTTTAAAAAATTATTATAGAGAATAAATATTTATTAAAAATTGCAACATTAATTTTATTAACCTGTAACTTATAAATAAAAGTTCAGTATATATAAGTAACTTGTTGTCATGCATTTTAAAATATATTAAAAAGGACGGTTTAAAGAATTAAAATGATTGAGGATCGTAATTTATTGTATATTATACCTACGAATAGTAAAAACGAGCAAGTTCATATAGTTTAGAAATTATAAAAACAGTTTATATTTTTTTATAAGTCATGTTTAATTTATTTTAATAATTTTTTAAGTATATTTTAAAAATAAATCGTTTTAAATTTATCACAGTATATTTTATTGTTAAATTTATTATTTTAAAAATTATTAAACAAGTGATTAAATAAGTTTTGTATTAAAACATGCTTTTTAAAACTTATTTTTTACTAAATAAATTAGGATAAGACATTATTAAAATTTAATGAATTAAAAAATCAGATTTAAAATGCTTTTTAGGTTTAACAAACTCACTTATTTACATAAAATGTATATTATTATTACTGTTATTATAAAAAAAATATAAAAATAGTTAAATCTATTAATTAATATATAAGTTTAGACTAATTAATCTAATTAAAGATATTTTTTTTTATTTAAAGGACATTATTATAAAATAAATTTATAAGTGAAATTATACTTTAAAAAATAACCTATATTAAACAGAAAAGTGTGCAATCCAATAATTGGCATTTGGCATGAAAGAGGATGTGACTTACATCATGTAACTGCCACATCCAACATAAAGATCACCATAATCAATTTGAAGAATGCCGCACGAACTTCCTAGACCTGAATTTTATATTCAGTAAATTATTAAATTAGTTTTTCAAATTTCAAAAATTAAATTATCTGATTTATTCAATTTTACTTTATTTTATTTTAATATAAAATAACAATAAAAAATAAAGTAAATATGACTCAATTTAATAATATTCTGTAAAGTTATAAATTAATAGAAAGTTTTAAGATGTCATAAATTAAATAATTATTTCATATAATTTCAGAAATTGACTTGAAAATTTACTCATTTTATAAATTAGTTGTTATTCATGAAATCACATATGGAGGGCAATGTTAATGGGTCCCAGCAAAACTCCTTAACCAAATGTTTTCTTTTTATTGCAAAAAGCGTTTTTATTTTTTATTATTTTATGTTTTTAAAACATAAAATTAAGAAAAAAAATAATCATACATGAGTAGAAATTACTACATGCATCACTTACAGCGTTTGAATTCTGAAATTAAAAATTTCTCACATCTGCTTTTTACCCTTTCCCAAATTCTAATCTCCTAGCCAGTCGTCAATTATCAATTTTTTTTTAATTATGTAATCTTTATCAGTTTAAATTACTTATACTTAGTTAATTCTAAATTAAATTTAAATTTAAATTTTAGCAACCATATCAAATTAATAAATGCACAAATGATGTGTCTTAATTTACATATTTTTTATATTTTTATTAATTTAAAAAGTCTAACTTTCTAATTCAAATTTATTTTATAAAAAATTACCATTATTAATAATAATAATTCCTATTATAATTTACTTTATTTATAAAACACATAATTTTGCCAATGTGCCATTAACTTGTTGATAAAATTTGAATAGTGTATTAATCGGTTCAAGTAACATAGAATTTGTGTGTGTGTGTGTGTGTGAAAATTGAGATTCATTTACCAAAATTTCTATATTTATACTACTTAAACTACAAATTTGATTTAAAAAAATTGGTTTTCTTGATATATAAATGTGAAAAAAAGACTAAAAATCAAGAAAAAGTTGTATCACGTAAGATTCAAAAAAACAATGGTTATTAAGTGTAAAGATTAAAATTCTTTCATTTCTCCTTTTATGTAATCTTTTTTTTTTGGGGGGTTCTAATTTAAGTCATAAGTCTCCAAATTGCAATAAATAAATAAAATTACTCAATTGGGTTATATTCAATTTTTTAATGCCTAGTTCTTTCATTTAATTCATGAATCATAATTTTTTAAGTAAAACTTAAATCAAGCAAGTATTAAACAGTAGAATTTTAAAATGTCTCTTTATTACTTAGTTTTATTTCTAAGATTTAAACAACTAAGATGGTTCACTTCACGCTTAGTTTTCAATTGTGAAGTAAGTGTAGGTTTATTTCGTAGGCGTACAATTTAAGAGAATCACAAAACATAAAAGAAATCATATTAAGATGAAAGAATCAATTTATGCAAAAATTAAAATGAAATTGATATCAAGAGGTATTATATTAGGAGCAATTGTTTAGACTATGTAACGAGTTGTTTCAAGATTAACAATAACACATGGCTTCCAATTTCTTGTGATGGGAGTGTTGGAGGTCCTCACTCCTCAAGTTGGCCATAGTGACACAAAATTTGACTAGCTTATATGTTTCAAACATTAAAACTATACCCATTAGCATGCAAAGATCCCTAAGAGAAAAATAAGAATAAAAAAGATAAGTAATAAATGTGGAATAGGTATTGATATTGTTAAGAGTCTTTATAAAGTGACAAGCACTGTCTGGCAAGGAAGCTTCGAGTTGTAGTTAGAAGAAGCATTGATCAAAGAAAATTACCAATTACGAGCAAAGCTTGGACCACTCTTTTTGATTGGGTCATCAACCCATAAATTTGGTTAATGTTAAATGTAGGCCTCATTTAAACTCATAACCACAGGGAAACCACTTGAATTAGTAGGTCCAGTTTACAATGATGATTTCTTGCATGGAATCCTTCACAGACTGGT